TGGATGGATGGATGGATGATGGATGGATGATGGATGGATGATGGATGGATGATGGATGTTGGATGGATGATGGATGGATGATGGATGATGAATGATGGATGATGGATGGATGATGGATGATGAATGATGGATGATGGATGGATGATGGATGGATGGATGGATGGATGATGGTGAAGTGATCCCACACTTGTCCTGCTGTTGGAGGAGGCTGCCTGTGCTCAGCAGCAGGGCTGTAGCAGAGCAGATAACACTCCCTGGTGAGTTTATCTTTGGGTTTATCTTTGGCTGCTGGCTGGGCCTGTGCCATCTGCCCAGCTGGGCCGGGCTGTGCGTGGGGCTGAGCTGGGATGAGTCAGCTGTGCCCTGCCCAGGGAGCTGCAGCTCTCATTCTCTGCTGCAGCAGCTCCGAGCTCGGATCCATAGAAAGAATTCCTTGAGTCTGATCTCTGCCCATCTGTCTCTTGTTTCAGCTGGGCTCAGCCTGATCACAGGTGCTGTAAGATCCTCTCCAAAACCCCTGAAGTGTGTCTGACTTTTCAGGCCAGGAGTGTGGCTCTGATGAGGTTGAGATTTGCAGACTGAATGCTCGTAGTCTCTGTCTGCCCAGACCTCTGCAATGCTTTGCCACAAATCCCAGTGTCCAGCCTGAGGAAGTGGTTTTGGGGTTAACACTGTGGTGGAGTGACCCCAGTGATCCCAACTTTGCTCCTTCATCCTTGAGAGCTGCTGCAAATCTCCATCAGCACTTTGGCATTTCAGTCTTTTTATAAGATCCCATTTGTTGAGGGTTTGTTTTTCTCTCAGGCTCTTGTGTTATTTAGTAGGTGTTTCATCTCCTCTAATGTGCCCAGAGGAATCTTGGTGCATCTGTGCTGCTGAAGAAGGGTTGGCATTAAGCAAGAACTTCCCTCTTTCTGATGATTGCAGAAGCAGGAGTGGGATTGGAGGGGTGAAATTAAAGCAGGGTTTTATGATGGCTTGAAAAAGAAGAAGAATTCACACCAGATGGACAAAAGTCACGACACAAATGTGAATTTACCTGGCTCTGGCAGCCCAGCAGACAATGTTGGTGGGCCTGGGGAGCCTCTGCAGCCCAGAGGAGTTTGCAGAAAGGATCCTCTTGACTTTTTGTATAACAGCTTTCACGTGGAAGAGTCTGAGCTGTGTCTGAGCAAACAGCAACGCTGAGGGAAGGGGAGGGGAGCAGTGGGAATCAGCCCCAGGAGCTGGGTTAATGGGATCAGCAGCCAGAGAGGGCTCCTTTAGGCTGTGTCTCAATTTCCTGGGCTTTGGTTTGTTTTATTTTACTTTGTTTTATACTGTTTTATTTTATTTTCCTGGAGTTTCGTATTGCAGGGTCTGGTTTTGCACTTGGCATAGAGCTGGTCCCAGTGATGCTCTGAAAAGCCTCATATGTTACAGACAGCTCTGGTTTCCCCCAAACATCACCTGTGCCCCTGCTGCTGTGCCTGAACATCCCATAACCAGCTTCAAATGCAGCAGGGAGGGAGTGCTGGGGTAATTGTCAATAAATAAATGTAGTGGAAATGTGCTGTGGGAAACAGTGGCGTGTGGAAAATGATGGGATTTAGGATCTGTGACAAGGTGATGGAGAGACTTCCCACTGCAACTGCACAGAGCTGCTTTCCAGGGGTAGGAAAAACGTGTGCAGGTTTCCAGGGGAGGTCATTAATAATAATAATAATGTTATTAGCATCTAATAAGTGTTTTTCATCTCGGAGCTGCTCAGACATAACTCATCAGCGTGTGACAGGCTGCTGGCGAGATCATTCCCACCCCACAGGATTTGGGACAGGTCTCTCCTGTCTGTTTGGGGCTTGCCCCAAGCCAGAGGCAGGATGGAGCTTTGCATGGAGCTCCTGTCCCACGGGAGATGGAGCAGGAGAGGGGCAGGACCCAGGGAAACTCAGCACTGCCAGCCTCAGAGGTGGCTGAATTCTGCATTTCTGCTTTTCTCTTTTTGTCTTTTCTTTAGGGTTCCCTGATTCTACCCCTTCCCCCATGCAGGGACTCGCAGAGTTGCTTCCTTTGTGGTGCTTTTCCTTCATTTGTCTTTAACCTTTTCATTTCCAGGACTTGCAGAGTTTTTATTTTCCTCTGCAGAGAAGGGGCTTTCCCAGGCAGGATCATCCCTCTCCCTGCTGATTTCTGAGCTGATTTTCCATTCTGGGGCTGCTCCTCATCCCTTTCTCTGCTGATTTCTGAGCTGATCTCCCATGCTGGGGCTGCTCCCCAAACCTCACATTCCCAGGGATATCCCAGTCTGGCCACGCTGGGAGCAGACATCAGAGGGGAGGGATGATCCTACAGGATGCTTTGGGGTTTCATGGCCACCTGTGGGGCCTGGGGGTGCCAGTGGCACTGACTCTGTCCCTTGTGTGTCACTTCCAGCCGTGCAGGAGGAGAGGCAGCGGGGCAAGGACCGCAACGAGAACGAGGTGGAGTCCACGAGCAGCGCCAACGAGGACATGCCCGTGGAGAAGATCCTGGAGGCTGAACTTGCTGTGGAGCCAAAGACAGAGACCTACATCGAGGCAAACATGGGCCTGACACCCAGCTCGGTGAGACACCACCTTTGGGACATCAGGAGTGGCCATGAGGACACAGGGGTTGGGCTGTGTGGGAGAAGAATCAACGCAGAAATTCAAATCTTGACAGAAGGGCTGGTTTTGGGACATCAGGAGTGGCCATGAGGACACAGGGGTTGTGTTGTTGGAAAAAGAAGCAGCTCAGAAATGGAATTCTTGGCTCTGTGTCAGCTCAGCAACAGGAAAGCAGAGCCAGCAGCCACCAGCGTTTGGTGGCTTCTGTCCTGCAGCCACAGGCAAGTAAGAGGTGCTGTAAGGAGTAATTAAAAGGGCTCACAGAGAAGATTTTATTGTAGTAAAATACAGTGGTAAAAGGCAGGAAGACACTCTGAGGCAATAAACAGAGCTGTGTGGCTGAAGTGCCAAGAGATAAGAGCTGGAGAATGAAGGTCTGACTTCTCAGGTGTAGAATTATGCAGCTGCTTGGCTCTGAGGAGAGAAAACCTGGAGAAATTTGCCTAGAAGTTGGCTTTCGAGTTCTTTTCCCAGTTAGAAACTTGCATTATAACTGGGCCTGCTTGGAGCATCTGTACCAGGATGTTGAGTGCACAAGAGAGGGATGAGAGGGAAATGGGGCAGGAGCAGCCTGGGCTGGTGGAAGGTGTCCCTGCCCATGGCAGGGGGTTGGAATGAGATGGTTTTGGGGTCCCTTCCGACCCAAAGCACTCTGGGATTCTGTGGAGAGTGAGGAAAAGTGTTTTGGGCCCTTTCCTATGAGATTCCCTTACCAAAAGGGAGAAATCTCCCTGCAAAGCAGCAGCCTCCTAATGTGAGAGCCAAACCCTCCTCTGAAATTCCATTTCTAGGGCAGACCCTCTGCAGCCCGGGCAGCATTTGGGGTGCAGTCTCCACTCCCCCATAGCCCCTTTTGCCATGAAAGCAGTGGGAACAGAGGAATTCCTCTGAAAAACAGCAGCAGGGGCTGGAGTGGGGAGCATCTGCTTGCCACAAAGTCCTTTGAGGGACTCGGAGGTTGAGCTCTGCCAACATTTGGGCTGCCTGAGCCAAGAGAGCAGGCTCATGCACTGAAATATCCCTGTGCAATTCCTGCTGGGTGGCTGGGAGGCTGAGCTGATGAAATGCAGCTATTCCCAGCAAGTGCAAGGACTCTGCAGTGTTTATTTTCTGTTCCAACAACACTTTTATCTCTCTCTTTATGTGAGGCTTGGAGGGTTTGGGTCAGAAATCCCTTTCCATGGCATAAGGTTGGAAAAAGAGCATCTTTAGGGGCACTTCCAGCAGAATTCTGAGAGTCTGTGAGGGATCTGGGAGTCAGGAGAAGTCTGACTGGCTTTTTGGGATGCTCTTTTTGGAAAGACAGCTTTTCCTAGCATTAGGTGACTCTTGGACATTCAAGGCTTCGTGGTATGGACAAAGCCAATCCCTGAGTGAAACTCTCCAGAATCAGGTACAGAATCCATCAGGTACAGAATGAATCAGGTACAGAATCCATCAGGTACAGAATCAATGAGATACAGAATCAGGTACAGAATGAAAGAATGAATCAGGTACAGAATCCATCAGGTACAGAATCATGTACAAATCAATCAGCTACAAATCCTCACCTGCATATAAGAGGAGGATCCCATCACCACGAGGCTGTAAAGGTTTTGGTTTGTGGTTTTTTTTTTTGTTGGAGGAGTTAGTGAGGGGCTCAGAGAGGCTCTGACTGCTCTCAGGATTAAAAATCCTTCAGGGGAGCTGGAGCCAGCGTTGTGCTGACTTGAAAACAAACCCCAGAGATCGAGCTGAAATAAATGGCTTCGTCTGGCACGGCGTCTCCTCAAATTGAAAGCCGGTTCCTGCATAATTCAACACGCATTACTGTGAACAAGGATGTGTGTTGCATCTAAATAGAAGCAGGAGGCTTGTTGAAATGCCCTATTATTGTCAAGCCCACGAGGTGACATTTGTAGCAGGTTTAGCAGATGGATGAGATCAGCAGCTCCCGGTGACGAGGCCACCACAGGATGAGGAGAGGGAAGACACAGGAGCTGCCTCCTGCCAGCCCTCCCCCCCCCCGAGCCCAGGTGATGGAGAGGCAGACAAATCCAGGCCCTGATAAACACGGGGGAAAGGAAACACGAGCTGCTTGCTGCTGGGTGCTTTGATTTGTGCCTCTGCACCTCAGGCCAGCTGTTGGTGACCTGCAGGGACATTTCCAGCTGCCTGTGCCAGGCTGGGATGGGGGTGGCAGGGTGATTTAGGGATTAGCATCCTTGTCTGCCTCATAGAATGGCTTTGAAGGGACCTTAAAATCATCTTCTTCCATGGGCAGGGACACCTTCCACTGTCCCAGCCTGCTCCCAGCCCCATCCAGCCTGGCCTTGGACATTTACAGGGATCCAGGGGCAGCCACAGCTTCTCTGGAACCCTGTGCCAGGGCCTGCCCACCCTCCCAGGGAAGGATTTTCCCCTAATACCTGCTCTAACCCCACTCTTTGGTAGTTCAAATCCATCCCCCTTGTCCTGCCATGTCTGTGGCTGTCACCTTGTGCCATGTCCCTGTCCCAGGGGGTGGCTTTCCCTCTTGCCTTAGGAATTCAGGCTCCTGCCCTGTAAGCACAGCCTGGGACATGCTCCTGGCCATGGAAAGGCAAAGCCTGTAACTGAGAGCTGTCCTCCCCATTAGGGAGGCCTTTGAATGTCTGGTTTCAAGTGCCCATTTTCTGCAAGATGCCTGCAAGCTGCAGTTTTCCAGCAGGATCAGGTGCCCTTTGGCTCTGTCACACCCCGGCACCGTGCCCTTGCTGTTTATTTATTGCAGGGGGGGATTTGCTTTCCCTGCACAGGGAGGGTTTCCAGCACTGCCATTCCCCTCCCAGAGCCAGGCAGGGCCCTCTGGACACTTTTAGCTGCTTCTCACACTCCAGTGATCAGGTTCTGCCTGGAAGAGCTGTGGTGGTTCCAGGAATTGCCATCTGAGGTGGAACTGAAGCCGAGGATGAGGCTTTGGAGCACCAGGATTGGGGACAGCTTGTGCTGCCCATGGAGGGACAGCCAGGGCTGGGGCACCTGGAGCCCCTGCACATGGTGACAGCCAGCCCAGGAGCCAGCCCTGGTGGAAGCTTTGGCAAAAAACGTCTGATTTACCTCAATTACCCCTTTTGTGGGGCTCTGCAGGCACTTGTTGCTGCAAGGGTTGTGTGCAGGGGGTCTCCCATAAATCGTGATCCCCATCCCACCTCGCTGGGATGCCAGGATTCTCCACCTGCCTGAGCAAGCTGGGATAACCTGAGGTTAGAAGCTGAGGTGGGGGATGTTCAGGGCCTCTGGTGTCCCTTCTCCCCCTCGCTGCATCTGAATATCAACATTCCCTGTGCTTCCAGTGAAACGCTGGACCCTGCAAAGCTCCTCCTCACACACACTTGGGGTTTTCCCGTTGCCCAGAGGAAATCCCCTCTGATCTCCTTCTCCCAGTCCCTGTTCACGTCTCCTTGCTCAGGGAAGAGCCCCAGCTCCCTGGGAGTGGGGCTGGCCTGCCCTGGGAGCCCTGGGGGAGCTGCTGGAAGGGGGGTGGGACAAGGGGGACACGTCCCTGCAGCAGTGCCAGCCTGTGCCCATCCATCTCTGCACGCGACAGGTGGAAATACTCCCAGGGCAGGTGCCCTGAGCTTGCCAAATCCTGGCTATTTTAAGCCTGGAGAATGGGAGACGTTGGCCACTGAGGCACAGAGCTGTGGGTTTGCTGCCAGGGCTGTGTGGGGGGCACGGCTCGGAGGGGCTCGGCCCCAGCTTCCACTGGCATTGCTGCCTGCTCTGCCTCCGACTTCACACCCCTTCCCCTGCAAGCCAGGGGTGAAGTAAACACTTCTCCTCCAGGCTGGAAATTGCTCTTTTAAGGACATGGGAAGAAGCTAATTGTACAGTCTGAGCTGCTGGGTGTCAGCAGGGATTACAGGGGGAGATGGGAAGGGCTCATACATCCCTGTCCATGGAGGTAAACCCTACAGGCACACTCAGCCTTCCCCAGGGTTAAACAGGCTCTTCCAGTTCCTAATCACAAATCCACTTGAGCTGTGAGCAGTTCCTTTAAACAGGGATTTGGTGTGTTTAGGCTGACTGTCCTCCTAGAGAGCAGATGGTTTCTGTTACTGGATAATATTTCAAAGGAAAGGGGTTTTCTCTCTCTTTTTTTTTTTTTTTTTTTTTTTTTTCCCTGTAATGCCCCCTCTGTTGCTGGTTTATCGAGCTGGGAGATGCTGGAGTCTGCCCTTCCCCAGGCTGGAGCTGCTTGGATTCATCAGTCAGGGTGATGGATATGGAGTCTCAGCACTCCCAGTTCCCATTCTGGGGCTTGCTAAAAACTATTACAAGCCTCGTGGTGGAGCAGCTAAATCACTTCCTTTGCCTGTGAGTGATAACATCCACCTCAGGGACAGCAGGCAGGCTGCTCCTCCAGCCTCTCTTTTCCTCACTCTTCCTTTTCCAAGCTTTTCCATCTCTTTGTTTTTTTTTTTTTTTTTTTTTTTTTTTTTTTTTTTTTTTTTTCTGGCAGCCCAACGACCCTGTGACAAACATCTGCCAGGCAGCAGACAAACAGCTCTTCACCCTGGTGGAGTGGGCCAAGAGGATCCCCCACTTCTCCGAGCTGCCCCTGGATGACCAGGTCATCTTGCTCAGAGCAGGTGAGTGACATCTGTCCCCAGGAGGGCTGAACCTGAGGGACACATTGTCCCTGAACCTGGGACAGGTTGTACCCTCAGAGATTTAGGTCTTGGTGGTTTGAAAATCTTTAATTGATTCTTGATAGACTCTGATAATTCGGTTTTAAAATAGGATTTTGAAAGCCTTGCATGGGATGTGTTGCTGAATTGGATCCAAAATGTGGCAAATCAGCTGAAAAATGGCCCAGCTTCATCCCTGATCCATGAGGAACTCAGAGATGGGTACTGGGTGACTTAAACCAAAGGAATTAAACTCTGCCTTCCTCCCAAACCGAGGCTTGAAAGACCAAACGGGCTCAGGCCCCTGTGAAATTCCATCAAACTGAAATGTTTGATCATAATTAAAACCAGAAAGAAGAGAAAAGTACATCTCACTTCTTCTCCCACCCACCAAGATGAAAATAGAACTCTCAGTGCTTATTTTAAATTTCCTTGTGCAGCAGGGGGGCTGCAGGAGCAGGATTTGGGAGGTGGAAAGCAGTTGGCTGTAGGAAGGGTCTTCCCCTGTTGAGTGAATTCAAGCTCCTGCTGCTGCACAGAGCTCGTGGAGGGCAAGAAATCAGGAGCAGAGCTTGGGGAGGATGTGTTGGAGGCATGAAGCTCTTTGTAAGCCAGGAGCTTTGAAGTCCTTGATACTTTTAAAGTCCCTTTTATTTCCCCCAAATTCACTTTTGTCCAGGTCCTTTACCCTTCCAGGGTGGCTCCTGTTCCTTTTATTTCCCCCAAATTCACTTTTGTCCAGGTCCTTTACCCTTCCAGGGTGGCTCCTGTTCCTTTTATTTCCCCCAAATTCACTTTTGTCCAGGTCCTTTACCCTTCCAGGGTGGCTCCTGTTCCTTTTATTTCCCCCCAAATTCACTTTTGTCCAGCTCCTTCACCCTTCCAGGATGGCTCCTGCACCCCTTGGGTGAAGGTGCTCCATGGATTTTGCCAGAGCTGGCTCTGAGCCCTTTGGAACATCCCAAGTGTGGGTTTGAAGAGGATTTTCAGAGCCTTTTGTGAGAGTGGATGAGCAGGGAAGCCTGTCTATAGGGATTTTTGAGGGCTGGATTCAGACAAAGCTCTGCCTTTTCCTTTTGGGAAGTGGCACCCAAAGCCACCGTGGCAGTTCCAGGTTTTCCTCTCTCTTTAGCAGGCAGCTGATTAAAGCTGGGACTGGAGAATTCCTGACCTGTGTTCCCTCTTTGTGGCTCATTCCCACTCGTGGGCAGCAGGAGAAGGGGCTGCAAACCCCATCACATCCCGAATTTCGTGGTGGCTCCAACCCTGAGCCTGCTGAGCAGCTCCCTGGAGCTCCCTGCTCCAACATCCCTGCCAGGGGCCTCAGATAACCTTCCCCAAGCCTTCTACCCGGTGGCTCCATGTATTATTGAGTGGCCTGCTGAGAACAGCTGCCCATGAAATATTGAAGCATTAAAATCCAGCTAAGAGCCTCAGTCAGGGCATCCTGGGAGACAGAACAAGTGGAGCACACAGCTCAGGAGGAGCAGGGCTGGATGGGCTGGCAGCAGCTTTCCTCAAATCCTGAATCATTTAAAAATACTCCCTCTCTGAGCCGTTTGGAAGGGAAGAGAACCTGACTTGGTGTTGTTTTGCACTGGTTTTCTTGTTTCCAAGCTGAGGCAGGAATAACCTGATGCTTTTCTCAGCCTGGCAAAGGATGCTGAGCTTTACATCCCTGCAGCTGCAGCTGCTTTTGTGGGGCTGCTGGGGAAATTTGGCAGGCAGCTGGATTGACACGATGGCCAAAGTGCCTTCCCCATCCCAGAGCACCCCTGGAAGCTTCAGCCACCCTGTTTGGTGAGGAGGGAGTCACAGGAGGCACAGAATTCTGCTCTGCCACTCCAAAGCTTGGGTTGAAGTGCAGAACTCTCAGGGTAGGTTTGGTTGGTCTCTAATTCCAGTTTGCTGCCTGTGGTTGTAGTGAATTTTTCCTGCTTGCCTCTGTCTTGGCAGCTCTTTGGGGATGTTCTGGTGAAAGCCAGAGTAGGAAAATTTTCCCCATTTCAGCTGAAACGTCCCAGCTCTACGTGGGAATAATGCAGATGAAGGATGCTGATGAATCCAGCACTCCTGCACTGGAATAAGCCCAGTTTGGACTGGGTGTGGAGAGCCAGCTCTGGTTTCTGTTGGTTGTGGAGCTGCTGTGGGGCTGTGTGGGACAAATTCCCATAGATCTGGCTCTGGGAGTTCCTCTTCCTCGCAGGAACAAGATTTTTGCGTGCTCCTTCTCCTCCATCCTCCTTGGGTTTCACAGTGTTGCAATCCCTGTGAAAGTGCCAGGCCTCACCCAATAAATAGCCAAAGAAATGTTCCCGTGGCTGGGGTGGAAACATCTTGTGGCCACTTAGGAAAGAGTGAACTTTATTCCTTGTCAACATTTCTGATGGCACAACCCAGGGCTGCAGCAGAAGGTAAATACAGCACACATGGGCCTTGTGTTTATTCCAGGCTCTGAGATGTGTTCTTGTGGCAGGAGAGCTACAGGACATTGTTGTGTTGCTTTTCCAGCCTGGGAGAAAAAAAAAGCCCTAAATCCAAATATCCTGAGGTTTTTGGGCCAGAACTCCAGGACATGTTCAGGCCAGGGATGTTGCAGGAGACCCCAGCTTGTTTTACTGAAGATGCTGCTCCTGGCTGAAAGTCACCCAAATTTCCACCCTTCAAGCCTGGCAGCATTTCCTCTCACTGGGGCTTTGTTTCAGGAATTCTTGATGGATTTAGGAACTGGTGTTGGGTTGGGGAGCTGGAAAACATGGAGGCCACATCTCCTTCCCTTCCCTGTAGGTCTGGGCTCCGAGCATGTCCTTCCCATATCCCAAAGCAGCCAATAAGACTAAAATCTGTTTTCCAAGCAGCTGTGGAAGCAGTCACAGACACGGGATTGTGCAGGGAACATCCCCCCAATCCCTCCCAATATTTTCATGGCAGAAGCAACAAACCCACAAATAAAGCCAGAGCTTTCATGGTCCCTTTGACAGGGCTCAGGGCTGAACTTTTGTGGCCTGAGGAGGAGCCTGATGAGCTGATAGAGCTGGAAATGCTCAGGGCTGAGGGCAGAGGGGAGCTCAGGGCTCCACACCCACCAGGAGCTGCAGGCAGAGCTGTTTGCTCGGTGTCTGCACAGTTTATAGAGGAAACTGCTCCCCTTATTAGCTGTATTTTTAGTGCTTGGCTTCTTGATGGTTTTTTCCTTGCCTGACATCCAAGAAAAAGTTGACTCCCCTTTCCTCCCTCATGCCCAGCCATGCTCCTGCAGCACAGGCTGTTTCCTCCTCCTTGTAGAGAGAGGTGATTCCCAAACTTCCCGAGGATCCCATGGCTCTAACCTGTTGGATCCCAGAAATCTGGAGTTTTGGAGCTTTCTGTGCTCTCAGACCCCCTGGAAAACACTGCTTTTGACCTGAGGCCTTGGAGTTGGCTTCTAAATATGAGTGGTGAAGTAAAAATCACGAGTGTGCAGTGAATTAGAAGTGTGTGCTTTCACAGCGTGATGGGGTTTAAATTTGAGGTTTTTATAGTATAGTAATAGGTAAGGGACAACATGGAGGTTTTTTTAAGGCATTGTCTCTTTCTTTGTTCATCTTTCTTTTTCTTCTTCATGGATTTCAGGTAGTAGTTTCTGGCTGGTCAGTCAGTGTCACTCTAAGGGTGATGGGAATCTATTATTGGGTCAAAAGTATAAATAATGTCGGTGTTAATTCTCTATTGGACTGTTTAACCTTAAAAGACCTTGTAGCAGTTGCCTCTGGAGCCATTTTTCCTCACTTCTAGCAAGGAGCTGGAAGTGCTGTCATAGTGTCTGTACTTTCTGATAAGATATAATAAACATCCAAGCCTGAACACGAGAAAAACTGTTTCAACTGTGTCTCTGTTCATCCTGGCTTTGAGAAGAAGAGACGAGACTGATTGACAAACCATCAGTGTTTTTTTTTTCTCCCCAGGGTGGAACGAGCTGCTAATTGCCTCCTTCTCACACCGCTCCATAGCCGTGAAGGACGGGATCCTGCTGGCCACGGGGCTGCATGTGCACAGGAACAGCGCCCACAGTGCTGGAGTGGGGGCCATCTTCGACAGGTGGGCAGGAGGGAGGGCTGGGACTGCATCTCTGACCTGCTTGGAGAGGTGGGATTGCATCTCCAAACTCCTTGGAGGGCTGGGATTGCATCTCCAGCCTCATTTGGAGGGGTGGGAATGGATCTCCAGCCTCCTTGGAGGGGTGGGATTGCATCTGTGACCTCCTTGGAGGGGTGGAACTGCATCTCCGACCTGCTTGGAGGGATGGGATTGGATCTCAAACGTCCTTGGAGGGATGGGACTGCATCTCCAAACTCCTTGGAGAGGTGAGACTCCATCTCCAGCCTCCATGGAGGGATGGGATTGGATCTCATCTTGTTGCTGTTGGGGTGGATGTGACAAATAGACACACTACATGTCAGAAAGCTAAATTCCATACAAAGTGTGCACTTTGTTCATTGGTTACAGTAGGTCAGCATTGGTGTCAAACCATCCCCACCTCTGTTTTTCACAACACTTTCCTAAAATTACCTTTCCCAGCTGCAGGTTTTCTTTCCTGCTTATCTTTTTCTCCTTCTCCTCAGCCTCCAGGCCAAAAGCCTTGATAAGATTCCTTTCAGAATAACCCTTATTCATGAACCCTTTCTGGCTCACAGGCCAGCTGTGAGCCTCTCCTTACCTGGACATCCCTGTCTCCACCTCCATTCCTTCCTGAGGGCTCAGAGGAGCCCAGGATGAGAGAAACATCCCTGAAAACCCAGCAGCAATCCCATCCTCTGGAAAAGCTGCACAAACCCCAAGCAGGGAGGAGGCTGCCCAGTTCAAATCCAAGCCCCTTTCATGGGCTCCAGATGCCTTGTGATGTGAGGAGGCCACTCCTTGGTTCCTTTTCATCTTTAATTGGACCAAGACGTGATTTTTATTTGCACAGTGGAAAGGCCCCAGCAATGCTCAGCAGGTTCCACGGGCCTGTCCCCAGGGCTCTTTAATCTCAGGCTTTGGGAGAGTGTTTTAAAGCCAGGCTTGCAGGGTGTTTGACCCACGGTGTGACTCCAGACACTGCTGAAATGCTGATTCCTCTCCCTGAGCCGAGACCAAATCACCTTTTTGCTGCTCTGCTCTGGGAGGAAATTGTTCTTCGGACCTGGGTGACATCATTTGTTCCTGTGAGGTCATAAGTGCAAGATCATGACTTTGCTGCAGGATCTAACATGAAAAACTGGGCAATCAGTGGAAAATATTTCAAGACCGACACCTGCAGTAAGAGCAAAGGGAGCAATAAAAATTACCGGTGGAGGAAATTACTTTTAGATACCTGTTGGGGTGGGTTTTTATTGTTATTTTTTATTTTTAGGCAGCTTTCTCAGGTGCCAGAGCCTCTCAGTGAATGGATGGAGGCGGTTTTTATGGTCCCTGTTGTATCTCACAGGAACTATTGATGTTCCTAATGAGCTATTTTTGATGGAGGAGGAAAATGAGGCCACATCCTCAGCTGGTACAGGCCAGCACCATCCCCAGCTTCGTTAAATGTGACCAGAGCTTCTCACTCTGCCTCTGACACCTGGGGCTTTTCATTCCCTGGGTTTGTTTTTTTTTTTGTGCTGACTCCGTGTTTTCTGTGTCCTTTTTGCAGAGTACTGACAGAGCTGGTGTCCAAAATGAGGGACATGCTGATGGACAAGACAGAGCTGGGCTGCCTGCGAGCCATTGTCCTCTTCAACCCTGGTATGTGCCTGCCTCTGCTCTGCTGGCCCCTCTTGGCTGCTCTTCCGTCCTTTTGGCTCCTTTTCTTCCCCAAAAAAGCCCTGTTGGAAGTAGCAGAGGGCAGCCAGATGCTGAGCATAGGGCAGGAAGGGAGGCAGGGGTGAAAGTTGGTTTGGTTTGGAAAAGATCTTAAAGCTCATCTTGTTCCAAAGCTCCTGCCATGGACACCTTTCACTACCCCAGGTTGCTCAGAGCTCCATCCAGCCTGGCCTTGGACACTTCCAGGGATCCAGGGACAGCCACAGCTGCTCTGGGCACCCTGTGCCAAGGCCTGCCACCCTCCCAGGGAGGAATTTCTTCCCAAAATCCAATCTAAGCCTACTCTTCTTCAGTTTACAGCCATTCCCCCTTGGCCTATCACCTCTCCCCCTCTTAGAGAGGCTGTGAAAAGGAAGTTCAGGTGCTTGAGGGAGTTGTCGTTGAATTGGAACAAAGTGGAATCTTGATGTTGTTGAAGAGAAAAATGTGGATTAGAGCAACACCAGAGCATGGAGATTATTATCTCTGCTTCCCAACCTCATCATCCACGGGCTTTTATTACCTGCATTTCTGGAAAAACCCTTTGCACACCTGGAGAGGCTGAAAGACATGAAATGTGCTCATAAAACACACAAAACCTTCAATTTTTCACCATAGTTCCACAGACTCTGGGAGGGTCACGCTGCTCCCTTTTCCCCCTCAGCCCCAGCTACCCAAGGGAAGGAGAAGATTCAGTGCCAGGGTTTTTTTCTCCAGCGTTCCAGGGAGCAAATCCCCGTGCAGCAGGAGCCAGCCTCACATACCTGCCCAGCTCTCTGGAGGGGGTCTCTGCATTTCAGAGTGGATCAGCCCAGCTGGCAGCCAGGGACAAACCTCCCCATCCACCATCAGCCTTCCCTCCCTGCCCTCACCCAGCACAGTTTGTGCCCAAGCACAGCTCCTTGCCTGGATTTTCCCACCACAGCCAGGCCAGGCTGTTCCAGAAGGGTTTATTACAGTTTCTTGGGTTTGTTTTTCTTCTTGACCAATTTCTTGGGGGTTTTTTTTGTTTTTTTTAGTCCCCCCCCTCCTTGTAATCAGCAGTAATTTATTGTCTGTAATTTGGGATTAGCCATATATGGTCAAAGAAGGGGAATCTGGAGAGGTTCCCGTGGCACATGTGCTTGGGGATATCGATTTCTGCACTGTCCCTTTCACCCTGCTAAAAACAGATCCTCGCCCTGTCCTGTCCTGGGGGCTGTGCCAGAGCAGGGGCTTCTCCTTCTGCCCCACCACACTGCTGGAGGGAGAAATCCCACGAGCCCAGGGTTGGAGGGGGAATCAAACCCTTTAAAATGAGGGTCTGGGAGCACTGGAATGAGCCAAAACATTTGGGGTTGGGCTGTGAGGTGAGGAAAAATCTGTAGGCACAGCGTAAACCTTTGAGTGCTCCCCTGGAGCTCAGGGGCTGCATCCACACTTCGGTGGGGCTGGAAGAGATGGAGGGAGTGCACAGAGGGGGTTCCTGCCTGCCTGGGAAGCTTGGAGGTGCTCGGCTGATGGTTTTTGTGTTGCCTTTTAGACTCCAAGGGCCTCTCGAACCCGGCGGAGGTGGAGGCGCTGCGGGAGAAGGTGTACGCGTCACTAGAGGCTTACTGCAAACACAAATACCCCGACCAGCCCGGCAGGTGAGCTCCTCCTGCACCCTGCAAAGCCCTGCCCTGGGTGCTGCAGCTCCCAGCCTGTCCTTGGCTCCCTTCTCTTCTGGCATTTCTGTTTCCAGTCATTCCCTATGGATGAACCATTCATTTCTAACCCTTCCAGCTGTGAGCATCCCTAAAAAACCTCCCCTGTGCAGTGCACGGAGCTCTTTATTCTTCATAGCCAGGAAATGCAGCAAGGTGGGCAAGACCTGAGGAGCCCCAGCTCGCAGAGCAGATCCCAGCAGTGGGATGAGCACACATGGGAGGGGAGGGGGGGGTTATCATTTCCCTTCTGGAAACCGCGGCGAGCGAAACCGCAGCAAAAATAGGACTCACATGGAGTTAATTTTCGGTGGCAGATGAGCATCATTGCTGGGAAGTGAAAGCCTCAATTGATGCTCTTTTTCTCCCCTCCCTGCCTCCCCCAATCCAGCTGGGAATGGGAGTGGGGGGGGGATCAGGAATGCGTTCCTGGACCGCTCTGGAGCTGAGTGGGCGCATTTTCCCAGTTACAGCCTGGAGCTGGCAACTGCCACTTCAGTTACTGACAGCTTCTTGAGAAAGCAAGCAAAGCACTGGAAGCTGCTACTGGTGCATGAATGTTGGGGAAAAACAGCCCAGGCAACTGGGATTTGCATCTCACCTGCATTCCTGGCCTCGTGTGGATGGTTAAATAAAAAGGATGCTTTCACAGCAGTGAGTGCAGTGGGCAGAGCGTGCCCTCAGAAGTGATGCTGGGTTTGTTTTTCCCCCCGCTTTGGGTCCCAGAGTGCTGGCAGATGGAGAAAGGTGTGTTGTGAAGGGATTTCTGGGATGTTCCTGGTTGGTTTGAGGCAGGCAGAGTGAGGATGAGGGTGCCACGGGGTGTGTTTGGTTTGTGGGGAGCAGGGGGATGGAGGGATGAGCACAGGGCACAGAGCAGGGCTCTCACCTTTCCTCTCCCAGGGGGTTTGTGTGCACCCCAAGCTGCCTCCTCTTCCAGAAACCTTTATTAAATTGCATTTCTGGAGCAAATGCAGAGCCAGAGCTTGGACTCTGGCTGTTGTGGTGTTGCAGAAGAGAGACCTGCCTTGGGAATCACAGCCAGCAGCTCTCCTGGATTGTTCCCTTGGTGGGCTGAGCTCCTGCTTTGCACACTGAGCAGGATCTGCAGCCCTGGCACACACAGGGACAGCCCTGCTCCCCAAATCCAAACCACCATGCCTGACACACAGACACTGAGCCAGCAGCCCACAGCAGATCCCCAGGGCTCTGCCTCAGTGCTCAGTGATGTTGGAGGGAGTGTTTTAAATCCAGAAGCTGCACCAGGAACTCTGGAATTTAATCTCTCCCTGGCTTTGAGTGACCTTGGGCTGGGAACCTTCTTGTGTGATGTTCACACTCACCCTCGGTGGCAGGGGAGGTTCTGCATGCTCAGGGATGTCCTGAGAGCTGTGCCTGGGTCCTGCTGCCCTCCCTGCATCCCTCAGTGCTGCAGGGCAGTGCTGGCCCCATCCCAGGCCCCTCAGGAGGGGGAACCCCTGGGCTGCAAGGCTGGGGTTGCACAAGAGCTCCCCAAAGTTCCCCAAAACTCTCAGCATCCTCCTGGCCTTGTGGCTCAGTGTGATCACCAGCTGGGGCTGCAAACAAGTTCTGCCTGTGGTTGAGCAAACCCCTGCTGGAGCCGGGCTGGAGCCTTCCCCTGCTCCCTGCTGTGGGATTGCTGCAATTCTGGAATTCCCACCTTTTCAGGTGCAGGGGTTTCCTCCACATCCCCATCCAGCAGCAGTTTGGGAGCACCCTGTAAACACCAAAAGGGAGTTTTTTTGCAGAGAGAGGCATTCCCAGGGAAAACCCAGCCCTGCTGCTGCCCAGGGAGGGCTGGGTGCCTACGTGACACCCAGCAGCCTCAGGGAATCAGGAACCAGGGCTCTTTTCTCCCCTCCCAGCCCTGGCTCCTTGTGCTCAGGGCTGGTTATCTCACAGTTAAACATATCCCAGGGCTGGAGCCATCATCTGGTTTGGTTTAAAGTGAAACTTCCTGAATGGGATGGTAGGACTGATTTGTTTTTCCTGGCTCCGCTCCCACCGTTCTCGCCAGCTCAGCAGAAAAAAAAAAAAAAATAGGGAGAGGGAATTGTGCATGCATGTAGAATATCTGTGTGCTTGTGCATGTCTGTGTGTGTGTTTTCTGCAAGGTCCTCTTCTTCCTGGCCCTTTGCTGCTGTTCAAGCCCTGATTTTGCAGCAGGAAAAGCAGATTATAACCCTGCTGTGGCCACTAAAGGGCTTTTTCCGTGGCTTGGGAGCACTCACACAAGGAGGTGACATCCAGTGGCACCTGGGATGCTCCAAAGCACTCTTGCAGGAGCTGGTGGCTTTCTCCTGGCTCCACAGCTGCTTGTCACCCTCTGAGCCCAGCACCCAGCAGCTTTTCCCTGGTGTGGGTGGCTCATTTCCATCCTGCTGGGTCCTGCCGAGCTGCCAGCTCTCCCCAGCCCTCCTGCCTTGTGTGCCCTGAAACCATCTGCTCCAGGCAGGGCAGGGTGGAGAGAAATCGGCTTTTTGTTTGCCCTCCTCATAGCCCTGGGCCCGGGGAAGAGGAGCACCCCCTTTCCCAGTGCTCCCCCCAAAATTTGTGTCACAGCCTGGGCTTCACCCCTGGCTGGCAGCCGGGTTCCTGCCTCGCCAGCAGCCCCAGGGCTCGGCTGGGATGGGCAGAGCCCCAGTGAGGGCTGGGGGAGCTGCTCTGGAGGTGCCCAGAGCCTGCAGGAAAAGGGGCATCACCCAGCCAAGTGCCAGCTCAGCCCCTGGGCATCTCCTCCAGCCCCTTGGCAGCTGTTTGCCCTTCTCCCTGCCAGTGCCAGGGCTGATCCCGTGGTGCCTCCCCTTGATGGCCGCAGTGTGGGGACCCCACGAGCATCTCGGGGTGTCCCCCAGCCCAGGGCTGACTTTTCATTTCTAGTTCCACTCTTCCAGCTCAGTTCAGCGTGTTTGCTGGTCCAGAATTCCTCATTTCCCTGCACAGCTCCGGGTGTAGCCCCATAGCAAGAGGCTGTGTCCGACTCCAGACTTCGGGGCAGCAGCGGGGCTGGACCTGGGGGTGTCTGACCGTGCCACTCTCCCGTTCCCCAGGTTTGCCAAGCTCCTGCTCCGCCTCCCAGCCCTGCGGTCCATCGGTCTGAAATGCCTGGAGCATCTCTTCTTCTTCAAGCTAATAGGCGACACACCCATCGACACCTTCTTGATGGAAATGCTGGAAGCGCCGCACCAAATGACTTAGAGACCTGTGCTGGGTCAGTCCCTCGCCCGGGGGGGGCCCTTCCTCTGCTTTCCCCGTCCCTCCCTGCTCCCCCCCCACGCCGGAGGCACCGTCTGATCCGGGGGACCCCCGGCCATCCCGGCCTCCTGCCCCCCTGTCCGTTCGCTGTCACTGCTGCATCTCCAGACCTGCTCGCTGGTTCCCTGTGCTACTTGTAGAGAAGTGGGAGCGGAGAGAGCTTTGCCAACCCCTGTCCCCCGCCGTGCCATGAGGTTTGGGATGGAGCCACCACCCCCCCAGCCCTCCCCTGGGGACAAGGACGGTGCCAGCCCTCGGGGCACTGGGGTTTGGACGAGCCGAGGGGAGTGGTTGGACTCTGCCGGATTGCAGCTGGGCTATTTTCAGAGGATGGAGTTTTGGTTTTGTTTCTTTTTTTTTTGGTTTTGTTTTGTTTTTTTTTTGTTTTTGAAAAAGAGAAGAAGAAGACAAAAAAAAAAAAGAGAGAGGAAAAAAAAAAAAAAGGAAAAAAATTCTATTTTTGGTTTCTAACTATTCTTAGTAGTCTCAGTAGTTACTTTGTGGAGGGAGAGGCCGTGCCCTGTGAATGAGTCACCCGTGGCTGCACAGAGCCTTCTCCTTCCACTTCAGAGCAGAGGATTTGGGATTGAGCTGAATCCCCCCCAAAAACAGGGCACAGGAAATGCCCTTTGGCCACCCCGGGCATCGCTGCCCAGCCCAAAGGTGCCCGTGTGGACATGAGCCAGCTGCAGCACTTGCTTTAAGGCTGCCAGGGACTCCCCATGGCCCTTCCCCAGCTCCTGGGGGCTTGCTGGGACCCCTGCCCTCAGCACAGCATCCCAGTACATCCCAGTGCTGCCCCAGTACATCCCAGTACTGCCCCAGCATCCCACTGTGTGACCCCACTCCAAGATTTCGCCTCACCCAGGAGCTGCTCCTGTTGTTTGAGCCCTGCAAAACACTGCAAGGCAACAATTAGTGGGAGTGCTCGGCCTGGCTGCTTAATTGCAGCTGTTAATTAGTGGTGAAGCAAGAAGAGGGCTCCCCCTGGCCTGGGTGTCCCCCGTGGGGCAGGGATGTGGGGGTGGGAGGGTCTGGCTGGGTGGGGGATGTGGCAGCACCATCCCTGTCCTCTCCGGGATTCTGAGAGCACCAAAAGCACCTTGGCTTTTGCACAACCCTTTCCTTGAGTCTTGGTGTGACAGCGGGGAGCTGGACAGGATTTTGGGGATTAGGGACACACCGGGAATGTGTCCATGCCCTATGGGGTGGAGTGTGTGGCCAGAGGTCATCAAGGGACTGATCTCTCCCCCTACACCTCCCAGGTGTCTCCAGTGCCTCACCAAAAACATGAACTGGAGAAAAAAAACAAAGCAGAGGGAGTGGAGAGGGATGTTGGGAAGGGTTTTTCCCCCTTGGCAGGATGGACACGCTGTGCTGGGAGCTGAGAATGGGGTGTCTGTGGCCAAGGGCTTCCCCACCACTTCCATGTCCTCTGTGCTTTAAAAAGCGAAGGTCCCAAAGATCCTCTCCCGTGGTTTGCAGCTGCTTGAAAACTCCTCCTTTGTTCCTGGAGGGGATGGAGCAGCACCCACCACCTCTGTTTTGGAGGGGGAACACCATTGCCACCCTCCTGCTGGAGTGCCCATGTCCATCCCCTGCTGCTCCAAAATCAAAAATCACTCAGGATTTCAGGTGTAACTCCTCCTGAAGTGGCAAATCGGCAGAGGCAGGCACAGCCTTGGCTCTGTTTCCCCAGCAGCCTGCAAGCCGCTGAAAATATTATTAAACAGCTTCACCCTGCAAGAATTTGCCAAGAAAATGAGGCAGGAGAAATGAAATCCGGCAAGGGTGCCAGGAAACACGAGCAGGCTGTTCGCTGGCAGCAGGAGGTTGGCACAGCCCCAGGGAGGTGCCAGATCCCAGAGCCCAGAGCCCACCCAGAGCCCACCCAGCCCCCGGGTCCCAGCCCGGCTCTCCCAGCAGGAAGGAGTCTGGGATTGCTCGTCACAGAGGAAAGGCTCTGGGGACGTTGGTGGATGTTGCACCGGGATAAACCCGCTGGTCTCTGGTGGGTGGAGACGCTTTTTTTCTGGTGGATGGGTGGGAAGGGGCTCTTGGGTGCTGTGGTGGCACAGTGGGAACTCCCATCCCATCCCATTATCCCATCCCATTCCCATCTGCCCTTACAAAGCCCAGGGGAGGCTCTGCAGACCCCAGGTTCCCTGTCAGGATCATCCCTGTGCCTCAGTTTCCCTGCTGGAGCAGCACAGCCTCAATCCATGCCCGTGCTGGATTTTGGGAAAGGCTGAGCCTTGTCCTGGGATTTCCCTTTTCCAGCTGGTGAAAGGGATTTGGGATTCCCTGAGCCCCCAGAGCCCGGCCCAGCCCCTCCATCCTCATCCCAGCCTTTTGTGTGTCCAGAGCAGCCTTAAAGCAACGAGCTTTGCATGAGTTGGAATCTTTTTCCTTTGTGTTCTTTTCACTTTGGGCTTTTTGTTGTTGTTGCTGTTGTTGTTGTCTTCATCATGACGGGGCTGAGTGTGGAGAGGTGAGCTCAGGTGGCTGCAGGGAAACAAAAGGCCCACGATTCCCTAGAGAGGCAGGACATGGATTTAACCAGCTCTCAATACTCCTGCGAAAACCTGCTTTGATTCGGGGTGATCTGTTTGCAATGCTTACTTCAATTCCTTTTTGTTGGTGGGACAATCTTTAATTTTCTAAAGATAGCACAAACATCAGCATCCCTCTCTGCGCGTTCCACCCACCCCTAACCCCACCCAGCACATCCCAAACCCTTCCATGGGAATTCTGAGCTTCCCTTGGCACTGGGAATACCCAGGAGTGGCCTGGGGGGCTTTGGGGGATGTGGGGAACGCTGACCCCAAAACAAGGCTGTGCTGCCGTGGCCATCAGAGGGGCTGGCTCAGTGGGATGTGTGTGTGTCCGTGTATGTACTGTAGATATCCACACTGTATAATACCCCACTCACATATACACATAGAGAACTGTAGCAATTACAGACTTTGCCTGGCTTTTTGTGGTTTAAGTCCATTCTTTTTCCTGGTTTTTTGTTGGTTTTTTTTTTTGTTTTTTTTTGTTTTTTTTTTTTGGTTTTTTTGTTTTGGTTCTTTTTTTTCCCCCCTCTCCTCGCTTTTTGTTTAGTTGTTTTTTTGTGGTTTTTTTTTTCTTTGTTTTGCTCCCGTTGTATCCGAATCCCTTTCCAAATTGGCAGATGCCAAATCTGGATTTTTATTCCTCGAGACAAAGGAACTGCATCTATTTTAAGATGCCTTTTTGTTTTGTTTTTCTTCTTTTCTTTCGTTTCTCTTATTTTATTTTGGTTTTTTTTTTTTTCTTTCTTTTAAGCAGGTGGTTTGGAGTAAAAGAATAGCTTTAGCAATTCCCAATACTTAGTGATGGATGCCTTGGCTATGGGATACATAGATTAAAAAAAAATGACGTTAAAATTTAGAATGACAAAAAAAAAAAAGAAAAGATAAGGAAAAAAAAATATCTAAAGCATCAATAAAGTTAAAATCTATTTTTGTACAAATGTAATTTTATCCCTTACCGTATCCTCGGATATTTTCTTTCCTGGATTATTTTGTTTCTTCTACAGAGATTGTTATAAACTCTCTCTATTTTTTCTCTCTTTCTCTCTGTAAATGTTCAGCCACAGGGATCTGGAGAAGAGGGAGAAACTTCTGACCGTGTTTTAAAGGCTTTATATGAAATCTCTTTTGAAATAATTTTTTTGAATGAACTTTTTATTTTTTTTTTTCCCCCCACTTCCAAAATCTTTTTTGGGGATGGGAGAGGGGTGGGAGGGAGGGGGAGGGTTGGTCTGGGGGTGTTTTTTGTCACGTATCTCTGGCGTTCCTGCAGGTCTGTTTTACTGTGAAATCACTACCGTATATTATTATTCACTTCAAAAACAACAAAAAAAGGTTAAAAAAAAATACAAAGAAAAGAAAAAAAAAAACCCAAGAAAGAACTGCTGCTGGAAACGCCAGTATTTTCAGAACAATTGTATTAGAATTGTGGAAAAAAAATGAGAAGAAAAAAAAAAGAGAAAAAGAAAAAAAGAAGAAAAAAAAAAAAAAAGAAAATATATGAGCATTTTAAAATATAACCCAGTCCAAGCCCTCGTTTGTTCTTCTTGGTGTGTCTTGAGTTATTCATGGGGGGCTGTCCCCATCCCAGGGCTCAGTTTTGGGGACACTGTCCCCATCCCAGGGCTCAGTTTTGGGGACACTGTCCCCATCCCAGGGCTCAGTTTGGGGGTCACTATCCCCATTTCAGGGCTGAGTTTTGGGGCCACAGAGGGATTTGGGGGCAGCACTTCCAGCATGGGATCAGGGCGATGTTTTCCAGCCCCGATCCCTCCAGGAGCACAGGGTGGGAGAACGGGAGCCTTTAGGCTGAGTTTAACCTGGATTTGTTGCCAGGTACGAACGAGATTGAAGTCGCTGTCGGGTTTAGTGCCGGGATAAATCCTCCCCCGGCGGCGGCGGGGCGGGGAGGATGGAGATGGAAAATTCAGCGGCACAATTCGGTTAGAGCCGATCCGTGTTTTCTCATTCGGGAAAAATGAATTTTTTTTTTATTTATTTATTTATTTTTTTTTCATTCGCGACGCGCCGGCAGGAGGATTGTGGAGGGCAGGAGAAGGGACACAGGGGGTTCTTATTTTCCTGCAGCTTCCCAAAAAATGCCCATTCCCACTCGGGGAACCCCCAGGGAGCCGGGAGCACCCGCCCGGCCACGCTCCCATCTCCAGCTGCACAGAGCGCCTTGTTAACCTCGCTGTTTGGAGAGTAAATATTTACCTCCCTCCCGAGGGTTTTTGTGCCCCTTCTGCCGGGCTGGGATGCTCCGTGGGCTGCCCGGGTCACTGCTGCCCGCTGGCTGGAAATTCTTCGCTTTGAAAATCGGGTTTGCGTCTATTTTTAATGATGCTGAAAACAGAAGGGGAAAGCAAAGCCGAGCTGGCTACTGATTTTTTTCTTTTTAAAATTTTTTTTTGTTTGTATGTTTGGGTTAATTTTGCTGGTTTTTGGGTTTTTTTTTTAATGTTGTGTTTGGTTCTTGCTGTATTTTCTGCTTGGGGGGCACCCCCAGACCCCCAAACCTGGGGAAGGGCTCTGCTCTCCCTCCTTTGCTGCCGGCCAGGGAGGAGGAAGAGGAGGAGGAGGAGGAGGAGGGTTTGCACCTTGGCCAAGTCTTTGCTGTTTTTCCAGCTTCTGCAGGGATCAAAGTGCCTGTTTTGACTCTCCTCCCGATTCCTTGATACCAGCAGATGATTGTAATGCAATTAAAGCTCTCAGCCATGCCGAGGCTCCGGGCTTTTGTTGTGTCTCCGGGCTGGGTGTGCTCGGGATTCACCCTTGCCCTGGGAGCAGCGTGGAGACATCGGCACACACACACACCGAGAGCTCCGGGGCTCTCTGCTTTATCGGCAACATCGCAGATCCTTCAATCCTGACCTCTTGGAGACGTGGGATCCTGTAAAATGCCACTGCAAAGTGCCCCAAGGTGGGGATGGAGAGTGGGAGATGCTGAGCTGGGGGTGCAGGGCTCGCTCTTGGAAAGGCACCGCTGAATTTCTGAGCATTCCCAGCGCTGGCAGAGATGGAGAGCGGAGTGTTTGGAAACCCTTAAGGGAAGGGCTGGGATCCCGGCCCTCCTTGTGCCTCAGCTCTCCGGCGAGGAGGGGACACTCCAAACAAATCCAGACAGATGAGCTCTTTCACTGCTAATTTGTCACTTCATAATTGCCCGAGAAAAGCAGGTTGGTTTTCTCCTCCTGACCTCTCTCAAGCAGCCTTTTCACCCCAGCTGG